GAATGGTCTTAGTTTCAAGTGATTGATGTCTAAAACAGACATTCGTTACTCTCAAAATGAGAGTAACAATTAAAAACTTCAAGAGCGGGGAAAACAACAGTTTGAAATAGGGAGACTGACAGAGATCAATGTGAATGAGTTGGCAATAAGATGTATGTGTTGTATGTATACTGTAGGGTGAGAGAAACCAAATGAATTACATACAGCGATAGACTGTGTGAGCGTATAGACAGGCACCAAATGAATGTGCAAATTTTAAGTTGGTGTTTCTGATATATTTAACATGACATGTTGATTTCAACAAGTTGTGCTGTTCTTGAAAATGTCCATTCCTAAGCTAAATGTGGTGCACATTGTATTGTATTTTGTATTGTCAGTGTAATAAAACTCTGTACACTGTAGGAGCATTTCCTACATGGCATATAACACTGATTTACGGTTTACATATAGATGGTTCTTCTGGTTATGCTAATTAGAAACACTCTTCATTGCAAAAATTCAGTTTTTTTCCAGTCAGTCAAATCTATTTTACTACAACTAAAACTGTAAAATTCTAAGATAATTCAATTTAACTTAATCTCAGGAGTGTTAATCAAATGTGTACAATTTAGTGTTAAACAAGTTGGGATTTTAAAAATTTGTTACAGTTAAGATGATGGTTATGATAGAGTTGAAAGATAAGGCTGGCGATTTTCTATAAGTTTCAAATTGTTGACAAATCCTACGAAAGACCAAAAGCAACAATGAATTTACCGTTTAAGAAGTAAATTCTTTAGTAAGTTTCCAAAACCTGATATGACTTATTCCCTTGTGCCATAGAATCCCATTGTTGTTGGTTTGGTTTTGATAGAACTTGCTGACAATATGAACAACATAGAAAATCACCAGCCTCAGAGGTAGCCATCTTAGGTAAGAGTGAATTGGAACCCATTTTGAATTTATTTCCTCTTTTGTGAACATTGTAAAACATTTCAAAGAAGATGGAAAATGTTGATTGATGGTGATACAAATCAGTCTTTATAGGTATCCGTTATTTTGAACTCAGGCCGCTGACCAGGTTGGTGGTACTACAGTATAATGTGTTTCATTGGTAATAAATGAACTTTTTCACTGAACCAAAGTAGTTTGATTTGTATTTACTCAACTACACTGTGTGGAAATTGTTGACATAATCAGGTTTAGTAAGTCCATTTAAAATGTTGGTATTACCAAATGCAGTTGTGTAAGGGATGTCCAGCAGTTAAGTTAGATTTACTTAAGTGAGTTAAGTCAGTATATTGAAATATGTTTATGTTGGCATTAATCATCACAGTTAAGTAAAGCCAAAGAAACAGCATTTTGGTGAATTTATGTTGGTCAGTTTAGTTAGCTGGACGCTGACCTATTAATTACTTCCAAGTTGACCAGATAATGTTGGAATTGCCTAAAACATTCATGTTGGTTGCACATAAGTCAGTTATGGGCATCTTAATAATTGAGCACGACCGCGACAGTTTCACAGGAACTAAGCTTGTCGCTGCCGACCACTTCCCCTCACTCTAACAGGGACACTTGCTACTGAACATAGACTGTTTCTGCTGCTCCCTGATAAAAGAAAAATGTTTCTGCTGATACCTGCTCAAAAGAAATTCCAAGAAAACTGATAAAAGGGTAATGCCCTGGCAGTGGCGAATAGCTTAGGTTAATATTTGATTTGATTACATTAATGTTTAAGTTGAGATTTACAAGAAATATTTTATTGCTACCATGTAAAGGGAATACTGCTGGGAAAAAGCACCTTATTTGTTTAAAGTGTTTGCAAATCACATGTTACTGCACTTTTGTGTATATAGCAGTACATTTAAATAAAAAGCAATACACTACTTTACAATTCATTATTCAATTTTGCGCAGAACATTAATGAGAAATCATGCAATTAAATTTTATTATAGCTCAGCTTATAAAGATATTAATGCTCAGGGTGTGACTTTTTGAAATGGCAGAATAGGTTCTGAAATAATATAACTTGCAGCTAAATAACAAAATGCCTTTAGAAAGGTTTATTTGCACATTAAGCATGTGATGCAATTAAAATATAGAAGAAACAATGTGCATTGTCCAGGAAAATGAACTTCACCTAAAAATAAAAAAAAAAAACTATAAAATGACCCAAAAATGTGAACTTCATGACACTGTCACATATGTGTTGCCTCAGCAGGGATGATATTACATGAGAAATGCTTATCTACAGGAGAAACAGATCTGAAAGCAACAAAGAATGCCTGAGAGCTGCACTGACTTATAGTCTATTATATTTCTATATTTTGAAATGTCACGTGCCACCTGAACTTTGTGTTTCCTTTTACGTAAATAAAAACATTTTCACCATAAATAAAAACTTTCATCAGAATGTAGGAAATGAAGTGTTTAAAGAACAGACCCACAGCCCCTATGTCTCAGCATTGAGGATATCTTTAAAACACTGTTTAAGGATTTTTTTGTCTCGTTCTCACCTAATATTGCGTATTGTGATGTCTCGCGAGCTAAGTGTCTCTTCACCTCCCTAATCTGAGCCTCTAGCCCCCGACAGTCGACTGGACAGACTGGTGGGCTCAGAGCTGGACTCTCTAGTGACAGTGGCAGAAAGAAGGACCCTGGACAAACTGCTTTCCATACTGGACAACGCCCACCACCCTCTGCACAACACCTTCATCGGGCAGAGGAGTGTGTTCATTGGCAGACTGCTGTCCCAGCCCCGCTCCACCAACAGACTTAAAAACTCTTTCGTCCGCCTGGAAATCAGACTGTACAACAGCTCCTGGTCATGGCAGGGAGGACAATAGACAAAAGAACAATTTCTACCTCCATCTGCACTCCATTTGCACTGTTTACTGTGTTATAAGTTATTCTATTTTAATATAGGTTTAATGGATGTATGTTTCGTATGCTACTGGATACTTAAAAAATAATAATATAATAATAATCTATGTATGTCCACACCACTTTTCAACACAAAGTGACGCCCTTGTTGGAATGGAATATAAATCCATGGAAAATGTAGAACATGTACTATTACATTGTAGGAATATAGGGATGAGAGGATGAGGATAAGTCAGGCAGGAAGGAAGTGGAACCTTGAAGGTTTATTAGGCACAAAAGGAGATTGCAATCTGCCATAAAACAAGAAGAAGAAAAAGAGAAACGGACAAATGGAACGCACCATTAGTCTTGCTGTTCCCCTCTGTCTTTGCTTGTTCCTCAGTGTATTTTGTCTGCAGTTCAAGCATTGACATTATTAAATCTCTGAACAATACATACTCTGCCTCCATTGTCTGCATTTGGGTCTAATCTCCTGCTCCCCTATTTCTTTGGAACTAAAACGATTTGTTGCTTGCTGTTGAAATTATCCAGATTTGTCCGACACTGTGTAGAAGCTCAGATGGTCACAGAGAACAGTAAAAGTGTCGTTACTTTTCTGTTTGAATTCAGCTTTCAGTCAGTAATGAAGATCATTGTTCCTTATTTCAATAATACATTTTATTTGGGGGACGCCTTTCAGGACACTCAAGGACATCTTACATACAAAGTAATAAAATTACTTTGAGGTTTAAATGAGGTGCATAATTCAAACAGTATAAGTTTAAAGAAGTCTGAAATAAGAGGACAAAAAATATTTGGCAAGTCAAGGATAAAAAGTCTAAACCATAGGCTTCATGGAAAAGATGTGTTTTTAGGAGTTTTGTGAAAGATGCAACTGAGTCTGCCTGTCGAATATGAGGGGGCAGTTCCAAAGCATGGGTGCCGAGCAGATAAAGGCTTGGGCTCCCATGGTGGACAGGCGGAAAGGAGGGGTGAAAAGGAAACCAGCAGGGGAGGAACGGAGGGAGCATAAACTGGGAGATCATTGAGGAGGGTAGGTTCCAGGTTGTGCAGGGCTTTAAATGTGAGGAGTAGGACCCTGAACTTAATCCGGTATTGAATAGGGAGCCAGTGAAGCTTGAGAAGATTAGGTGAGATATGTTCCCATGATTTGGTGAAGCTCAGGATTCTTGCTATAGAGTTCTGAACCAGTTGGAGCTGCAGTTGTCTAGACGGGAAGTGACAAAGAGTGACTGGTAAATGATCAAAATTGATAATGAGAATTTGCTTTTTGGACAGGTTGGATTAGATTAGAATGATCTCCGTCTTATTGGTATTAAATTGGAGTAGGCTCATGTTCATCGAGCTCTTGGAGGTGGTTGATGATGGAGATGGGAGGCAGGGAGGTGGAGTGTTTGGTAGACAAGTAGAGCTGGGTGTCATCAGCTTAACACTGGAAACTGATGTTGTGGCGTCGCATGATCGATGAACTCTCCTGCTTTCAGAAACACAGCTTTTCCTGTCTGTGATCTGCCTGCAGTTTGTTATTAACACAAACTCAACACTTCCTGCAGCTCCTTCACAGTAAAAGCCTCCATCAAAGAGAGCTGATTATGTCCTTCACTGTTTTACAGTCACTCTGGCAGCTTAGCTTGAGTTAGTTAGCTTTTAACTGAGCTTAGAAGTGGTCTAAACACACAGCATGTAACAGCGGTGTCACAGGTTCAAGTCCACACGGAGCCTTGTTTGTATGGCATTCTGTTTTCTGTCACACTCTACTGTCAACTATCACATGAAAACAATTCAAAGAATCTAAAAAAGAGAAGTGGTCCAAATCTCCATGGGACCATTTTCCATCCACTGCTAACTTTTCCATCAGTGCTGCCCGTGGACGTTTGTTCTTCACCTTTAGGAACAATATATGGTGGAGAGAATCTGAGCTCAAAGCTCCACTTACTAATGATTCAAAGCAAAGTGTTCATCAAGGTGAGCAAAGCTGAACTACAAATGCTTTTTCACCACATGTTGCACAATTATGATCTGAAGTGATTCAAGATGCATCTGGTGGATCAGAACAGCTGATCTGAGGAAGAGCCAAACAGCTCAGTGTTTAGAGGACAAATAGGAGAAAAAGACCCATTTGAAGCAGATTCTTTCAGATTCTGAATCAAGTCTTTACAGCGACGTCAACGTGAGGGCAAAAATATAGGAACATTTTCTTGAAGTGTAAATTCTGAAATGGAGGTTCAGGTGTTCCATCTTAGTTTGAAACAGTATCTGCACTAACAGTTCTTTTAGCACAACATTTTGTCTTCATCATCATCTTCCATCAGGTCAGTTTACAGTAAAAACAGTTTCTTACTTTGTGTCTGAGGGTCCAGGTTCAGGACTGAAGTTCACAAGTTCCTCTTTGGACTGGTCACTCTTCATAGACAGACAGCTGGATCCTGCAGACTCTGCTCTCTGTCTGTTGGACTGAACTCTGCAAACACCAAGATGTTTTTATTCAGATCACATGAATCTTTGATATATTCTCTGATGAAGCCATTCAGGAAGCTCTAAACACACAAACTGCTGCTGCTGTGGATCATTAGGAGCTTTAAAGTTTTTATTGGGAGGTGATGCACGAATATATGCTCCTAAATACAGCTCCTTAATCAAAAATGATTTTAAATAGGCCTAGTAAAAATTTGGAAAATCAATATGTGGCAGTCTGCGTTGATAATTATCCAAATTATAGGCTAATTATGGGAAACACTGCTCTCATTACCACCGCCTTCACCCACATACAAATCGTCTCTCCCGACTTTTTAACTAACATCATATCCATAACAGCAGCAAGGAGTGTGGTTTTTACAAAGCATATAGCCTAGGCCTAACGTTACTTAACATCACCGTCTGAAATAAAAAAAATAAAGCAAGTAAATCCCGACTTTTTAACAGCAGTTTTACTGCACATTTAGCCTGTTTGTAAGGGCAGTATTCAGTATTTTTACAAAACGTTGCGTTAACACCACTCTCACTCTCTCCTGATGAGTCCAAGCATCAGTGGCAGCTGCTGCCGGAGTTTCTTTCTGTAGCCTTTGTTTCATGTTGCTGTGCTGCTTCAGCTGCTGAGCTGCAGCACAGTCGTGGATTTACATCAAGGATGGTGCGTTCAGTAACGTAGTAACGCAGCATTACTTGCCTTAGTAACTAGTAATAGTATTACCGTTTTAGAAAAGTAATTAGTTACACTACTAGTTACTGGGAAAAGTAATATTGTTACTGCCCTACACTGGCTGTCACAGATACTAAGAGGAAGGAGGCACCAATGATTTGTCTTTGTCTGTGGCACAAATGTAGAATTAAAGGAATGCAGGCCAGAAAAAAATGCAGACATTGTTTATGCAATATGCACATAGCAAGGACAGCCCCCCTAAAACCAGGTCTTAGAATAGTGTTAAAATGATAGTGTTTCCACTTTCGTACTGGGATATAGGCTGTATGTGCAGTACACAAGTATTTGTGGTGTTTTTCTCTGTTTATTATCACATGTATTAGTCCATCATTAGATACCTTGTGATGACACACACACACTTAACTCATTTATGTATTTATTTTATTTTTACTTTATTTTATGTTTTATTTTTATTAATATTATTGATTATTTATATTATTTATTATTATTATTTTTTTAACACAAGCACGATTTTTCCTTTATTTACTTTTTTAATGAAATGTATGAAATGAATTGTTCTTATGTAATTTGTAGCTTTGGCAATATTGTTGTTTTACATTAAATTCCTATAAAGCAGATTTGCATTTAATTGAATTGAGAATGAGGTAAGTGTAAATGTGATGTCTTTGCTCATGAAGCCTAATGTTACTCCACAACTGGCAAACAGCAAACACTGAATGAGTTAGTAGCAGTTCTCTTACTTTGTGTCTGAGGGTCCAGGTTCAGTACTGAAGTTCAGAGGTTCCACTTTAGACCCATCACTCTTCATAGACAGACAGCTGGATCCTGCAGACTCTGCTCTGTCCTCTTCCATCTTCTGGACTTCAGTTCAGGTGTTCTTGTTGTTCCAGCTCAGCTGGTGTGTTGTCTGTGTTCAGGATTAGATTTTGGTCTAAAACATGTTGTCCAGCTTTATATTGTACAGCTACAGTAACACAGTTCACTCACATTTTACATGTACTGGATGGTGCAGCCAACAGTGTCTCCACTCTGTGTTCCAGCTGGGCAACAAACTCCTCAGCCTGTCTCCCTATAGGCTGTATGTAAGTACAAACACATTAAACACCATGAGGACACAAAGCAGACAACATGCACATCTGGACCATTTACTGACATCTGCAGTGTTTTTACCATCGATACAGTCGATCACTCCCATAGTCCTCACTTTGGACTAATGAGCAGTTTGGAGAGATCCCTGTGAATCAGTTTGGTACATTTGGATATAAAGTCCCCGATTCGACTCATAAGCGCAACGTGTTGAAAACACAAACGAGGCCTCTTTACTATTGTAGTTATGCTACCTGTGAGAGGAGTGCGCAGGGACCGTCTACAAAGTGCAACACCGAAAACACATACTGCAGAAATATTCAATAACTCAGATACAGTATAGTGTTCCTGTGGTGTATAACATATGTGCATTTGACCATTACAGTTTAAAATAACACTCTAGCAGCTGGAGAGAGGCTCAGTGAACTCTTAAGGGGAGTAATGATTGATGGGTGTGTAAAGAGTGAACCTCCTATGGAATTTGACCTCTGACCCAGTGTTAGGGGGAGTAGAGAGTAGTGTCTAACAGAGGTTTACACTTATCCTACAGCACTGTGCCCTTATATGGTATTTAGCAGATACCTAAACATGTCCTATATAAGCTGTGTTTGATGTACAGAGAGACAGAGTGGCCATCGGGCTGGGTCACTCTCCAAGCTGCTGCAGAGCTTGTAATTGATGCTGAATTCCTTGATGTAATAAACTTTATGATCAAGAACAGTGTCAAGCGGATTTCTTCTCAACACATCATCGCAGCATTATTGTTCGGACACCACATTCCCAAAGTCACATTACACATTAATGATATACTGCTGGTTATACTAAAACATTTAGTTTGGAAAAAAGGTTTTTGCATAATTTTAGGTAGGCCTATTTTTAATATTCGATATCTACACTGATAAGTTGTCATGTCTACAAAATCACCCCACACATCAGCGGTATCCTGCTGGTGATACTACAACACTCAGTTCGTAGAAATGTAGATTTGGGGAATTTAATATTCAATAACTTTACTGTTAGAAGCTTTAGTGTCTCCAAAATCACCTCAATGAACAATGGTCTAGTAGTATCATCAACATAAGACCCTTGTTGATTGAGGTGTCTGGAGACAGTACAGCAGGGCTATTTAATTAAAGTTCAAAGAGGTCCAGTTAGAGAAAATTTCACAAAGCAAAAGGTCCGGAACATCAACTTGTGTTATCATTCAGTAGCCTACCATAACGTATAGCCTGGTTGTACCAACATAAGTTTTTACTCAACAACTGTCAGTTTTCACATAAAACTGAAGGGATAATAAATAACTACTCCAATAATAAATTCTAAGTTTAAGTAATCTAAAGGCTGCATTTAAAAAACGTTTTGTAAATATGCACCTTAAAATTAATTTTATTTGTGGCTCAATTTCAGAAGAAAAATAAATAAATAAAAAAGTGTACCTTTGAGTGACTGAAGTTTAGTCATCAAGTGTTAAGGTCAAATTCTGACCATACAGAAAAGTTTAACCAATTAACCATCTGGTTTTAGAGAGTTTCCTGTGAGATTCCTTCCTATATCATTAATGGTTAAGGTGATTTTGGGAACACTACACTGTATCTGAGTGAAGTTATTGAATATCTCTGCAGAATGTGTTTCGGTGTTGCACTTTGCAGACGGTCCCTGCGCAGTGCGCACTCGTCTCAGAGCGGCTGCACGTAGAGACCAAAGTTATTTGTGCCGCTCGTAGGACCAGGGACGTGCACAGGGGGGTTGCTCTGGTTGCCCGGGCAACTGCCCGTTTGCCTTTCCTGACTCAAGTTGCCCTTCCGACTCGCCCTTCCGAGAAAAAAAATAAAATAAAAAAATAATCGCGATCGCAAAGCCTCATTCACTTCCATTCGGGCACCGAAAGTGAAAGTCAGTAGGGGAAGGGCAAACTCTGTTTAAGTGGCTGCACTGCTGCAGCGCTGCCTGCACGTCAGTCGATTCTGTTCCCTACCGGAATTCCTGTTTCCTTCCTTTATGCAATCATACTACAACAAATCATGCGTAGTTTTGCCCAGTTACCATACGTGATACGTACCAACAGAAGTGAATACGAGCTAGAAGCGCAACTGAATGTACGGGAAGCCAAAAGGTTAAAAAAGGATTGTATTTTCTTCCGAAATCTAAGCGTTTTTTTATTTAATATTTTATTAGAAGCGAGTTTTCCCCATCTGTCAATTCAATCTAGATTATTTATTTCAAATAAAAAAAAAAAGGAAAAAAAATAAAAAATAATAATGATTAAAAAAAACAATAAACAATAATATAAGGAACTCTTTTCTCATATGTATTTTGGTGACATTTATATTGTTAATACATTTTGGATACTGTGTTTAGTGCCTTTTTTCAGGTCAGAGCAACTGCCCTTCAAAATTCCTGTGCACGTCCCTGCGTAGGACGACTCATTTAGGTAAAAAATTTACTTGCTTGTTGTCTACATAACTCCAATAGTTAGGAGGCCTCATTTGTGTTTTAAACACGTTGCGCTTACGAGTGATTGATCCTGGAAGTTCGACTCTGTGAATAGGCCTATATTTCCAACTTTACCGAACTCTGTGAGTGAGTTAACGCGCAGGAGAACGATGAACAAACTACATTCAGAAGCAGATATTTACAGAATATACATTAGGTAGATAAACAAAGTGGTCTGAACGGATTTCCTGGTTAGCAGCTCAGAGATCCTGAAGCCACAACTGCAACACATCTGAGACTATCAGCTGTGGATTCAGCCACCAGGGACTCACCGGGACTCTGACATTTCTTTCCTCTACAGTCCACAGGGAGAAAACTGCCTTAGAGACTCTGACAGGAAAAGAATGTAAATGTTGGATTAACACTCACCCTGCCTCAGCCTTCAGTTTTCCTCCTGCTGTGTCCACTTAAAATGGAGTCTGAACTCTTTCAGCTTCAGGTTGAACAGGTAGGGCCTGTTCTCACCTGATCACATGCTAGTGTTGTTCCTTCCCTCTCTAAACTGAAAGCTGTCTGTCTTTAGTAACTGTTACGCTTAATTTAAAATATGGCACATTATATAAACCCAGCTGGTGGAGACAGAGCAGCCCTCCTCTCTACCAGCAGAAGCAGAGGGAGGAAGAGGAGAAGAGGTGCTGAGTTGTTGATGTCAGGAATATGATTTATTTTACTGACATGTAGATTTGTTTCCAGTGAGACTTTAGTGACTTTGCTGTTGTAAATCGTGATGCTGCTCTAGAAACAATATTCAGTTAATAAAGAATGTTAAATTCTTTTTTAAATAATACATGCAGTTATTAGTAATAAATGGGACTGATAAGAGCATCGATAAAGAACTGAACCAATAAGGATTACCAATACAAGTGTGTCAATAAAATCCTAATGACCCCAACGTGAGAAAATGTCTGGCCCATCTCTGTGTCTTGGTTTTAAAATCCGGCCCAATTGAATCTGTAATTGAACAGCCCTGGTCTACAGTAATCATAGTAATATAGTGTTATGTTTGTAGGCTATCAGTATGATTAGGTTTTAGTCTGTGTATGTTTCTTCTCTTGAGTCAGTTGCCTGTTCCTTATGTTCAGTTCTGTTCATGTTTGGATCTGTGCCGGCCTAAGTTCTTGTCTAATTCTGTTTCTGTCTGGTGTTGGTTTCAGTGTAAGTGTTATGTCTGGTCCTCCAGAATCCCTCTGCCTGTCTCTCTCTCTGCCGGTCTCCTTAGCCCTGATCCGTCACCTGTGTTGCTGCCGCCCAGCTCGTTCACCTGTGTATATATGCTTGATTGTTTCCTTCAGTCTTTGTCTGGTCATTGTTGTATGATGTATGTTCTACCAGTTGCTGCATGTTTGATGTTACCAGTTTCCTGTACACGTGAGTTTTGTTCATGCCTGGTGTTTTGGATTAATAAACCCTGGAACTAAATCTCTGCTCGCAGTGTCATGCGTTTGGGCTCTCTCCTGCTTTGCGCACCCAGCGATGTTGACACGGTAAATATTATCATAACAATTTAATAAAGAATTGCATCTAAACAGCACTTTTCATACACGACTCGCGGTAACAGTAGCGTACTGGTCCTACCATGCTGGACATGTGTATCCCCCTCCACAGAGGCACAGATGATGGCCTACTATCAAGTATTTTGATTTGGTATATTTTACATCATGACTAAAAACAGGGTTGAATATGGAGACGTTAGTTTTTCCTAGCAAAAGTTATATTGAGATAGAAAATACAAACTGGGATCCAGAGAAAGTCTCGTACACTAGAGCTTAAATGGTTCATTAAGCCTTACAAAGAAGGGTTGCATCAAAGAATGTCCTGCAACTTCAGCTAAAGTTAACAGGAATGTTTTTTTGTATAATTTAATTTAATAAGTAACTGAAAAGATCCTGTTACTGATATAATAACTGTAAAGTACTGTAACATACTAAAACAGCTCCCATTCCCTTTTAAAGCCAGCTGCTCTTGTATCTTGGCGCATTGCTGTTCTAATGCTGGATGAATGGCGCATTATAAAAAGCATCAGCTGACTGATTGAAGTGCAGACTCACAGCAGAGGGGGGATATGGACATCTCTCTCTCTTCCACTGGTTTCTTTATTCTGGCTTTTATTGATGTAGGAATGTTTTCTTTAACCATTTCCTTTCATGGTCAGAGAGGCTGCTGTCAGTCATTTGAAACGTTTCCATGTGCAGTAAAGTCACAGCAAATATCGTGGTGCATTTAAGCAGCAAAACTAAAAGCTGTAGTTCTAAAGTTGCCATGACAGGACAGAGGAAACTCTCAGAGGAAACAGAATTCAACTTTTAGCTTCTGAAATCATTGAGACGCTCTGATGGAGCTCAGGATTGATCAGGAGGACGGCTGCTTTACTCCAAACACTTTCACTGGATGAACCTGGACTGTGTGTGAGACCTTCAGGATGTGGAGAAGAACACAGAACATGAATTAACATTAGATCCTGACCGATCCTGTCGGCGTGTCGTGTCCATCGGTGGAGCAACAGGTGACGGCGTTCCTCCTCTCAAAGGGGACTGAGTTGGACAGGGGCCACATTGAGACTTGTCACCTTCTCCCACGGAGAAACAAGACGGATAAACCAGCCAGAATCATTCGTTTTGCCAACAGGAAACATCAAAGTGAACGGCTGAAACAGGGAAGACGGCTGAAGGGCCCGGATGTGGATTTGAATGAACACCTGACTAAGAAAAACGCTGACGTCGCCAGAAAGGCCCGACTCCTTAGAAGACAGAGAAAATACAAACCACATGGACTGCAAACTGAATGAAAGACCGGAGCGAGCCAAAGAGCATGACAGCAGCTGGTGATGAGCTGCTGGAATGGATGACAGTAGAAATCTGGATGGAAAGGACAAAAAACATTGTTGTGAGCTGAATATACAGAACTCCTGGATCAAAGATCCAAATCTTTAAAGAGCGGATGGAAAAAATGTTTACAGAAACAGTAAAAGATTCTGTTCATATGTGGAGATTATAACATCGCGCTATTCAATCTAAAAAAGCATCAAATGACAGCATGATGGAAAACTATCTAGTTAGTGGGCTATTATACAACAACACTAGTGATCATTGAGCTGTTTTATTGTCTCTCACTGTAATTATAGGAAACCTGAGGATATTAGTCATCTCAAATCCAAAAGAGGAAGAACTGCAGAAAACAGAAATGCTTTTAAGAAAGAATTACTGAAACAAAAGTGGAAAAATAGTTTCTGAGGAAGATGATATTGACAAAGCTTCAAATGGATTTCTAAAGATCACTGTGTGACAGAAACTCTCCTGTAAAACAATCCACACTAAAGCAAACAAAGTCCAAGGATCACTGACGGTTCAATAAATGCCTGCAGAAAGAAAAACAGACTTTATAGACTATTCATTAAGTATCGTCCCCCAGAAGCAGAAAATAAAGAGAAAAAGTAGAAGAATATTAACCAAAATTATAAGGAGATGTAAGAAAGTATACTTAATAAAATATTAGAGAATAAAAATAATATGAAAGGTTTCTGGAATATTCTAAACAGTTTTATTAGAAATGGAACTAAAACTAAAAATGCAAGTTACCTGGAATATTATATTGTAAATGAGGAGATAATAAATAAGATGGAAGATGTGGTAAATGGTTTCAACAAATTCTTGGTAAATCTGGCAGAAATAATAAAGTATCCAGAAACAACAGAAGGGTGGAGGCTGATCTTTGGGATAGAAATCCTAGCTCTGTTTTCTTTAGAGCAGTGGAAAGAAACGAGATAATAGACACAGAAGAAAGTGTGAAAGCAAATCCTCCATGGATTGGAATAACACTGAGATGATTATAATAAAAAGTTAGTGAAGAAGTTGAAGAACCATTTACTCATATCTGAAACTCGTCTTTTCAATCCGGTGAATTTCAAAATCAAATGAAACCAGCTAAAGTAATAGCATTATATAAAACTGGGGACAGACACCATTTCACAAATCACAGGCCTGTTTCTGTTTCTCCCCCAATTCTCCAAAATCCTGGAAAAGCTTTTTACAGAAAGACTTGGCAGTTTCATGGAAACACACAAGCTTCTAGTTGACAGTCAATCCGGATTCTGGACAGATCAACATCTTTGGCACTAATGGAGCTAACTGAGGAAATCAAAGTACACAGACAAGAAGAAACATGTAGAGGGAATTTTCAACGCTTTAAAGAAAGCATCTGAGCCCATAAATCATGACATTTATTCCATAAACTAGAGAGGGATGGTATCAGAGGGGTTGGGTTGGACTGGCTGAGCAGCTGCTTCAGAAACTGCTGAACACAAATCTACACACATGAACATAAAGTGTGGTGTAGCGCAGGGATCTGTCTCAGGTCCAAAGCTTTTTATCATTTACATCAATGACATATGGAAAGTATCAAACATACTAACATTTATTTTATTTGCTGAGGACACAAATATTTTCTGTTCCGGTGACAATTTACAGCAGCTTTCAGAGGCGATCAGTCCAGAAATGAATCAAAATGCTGCTTTGATGGAAACTAATTGTCATTAAAAATAAAGATCATGTTATTTGGAAACATAAAACAAACCCTCAGGTAGAACTGAAAATGGACAACATCAGCATAGAAAGAGTTTATGAAAATCCATTTCTTGGTGTGATCGTAGACACAAAATCTGCTGGAAACCTCACATAAACCAGGTCAAAGCAAAACTGAATAAATCAAGACATATTCTGGACAATAAATCACTGCATCCTCTGTATAATACACTCATGTTACCATATCTGAGTTACTGTGTGGAAATATGGGGAAACAGCTACAAAACCAACCTCCAGCCGTTCTGCACATTGCAAAAGAGCAATCAGAATCACCAATAACGTCGGATATCTGGAACAGACAAACTCATTCTTCTTAAAGTCACATAAGAACAAGTCTAAAAAGTCTGTCCATCACTATCTGTGGGGGGAGTTTGTGGAATGGTTTGGAGCAGCTGCTAAAACAGAGCACAGACATTAAAAAGTTGAAACAGTTGTATAAAAAGACTTGAGGATGAAGAGAGGTGAGTGTGGGTTACTATACTGACTGTAATGGGATGGCTGATTATAGGCTGATGCTTTGTTTGCTGCAGAATGTAAAACAGCTGCTGGTGTTTATAATGACTGTATATTTGTTATCTTGCTATGAATATATAATTATAATGATAAACACACTGAGTCTGTTTTAGTTCAGTTCATCTCTTAAAACCACCTTAAACCTCCTGTGTTCAGTTTAAGGTGGAATTCTGACTGAAAGTGAGACTTTATGGGGTAAAAGGCTGAATTTGCTCCTTTAAAGATGCAATAATTCATTTGACCACTTGTTGTCAGCAGAAGCAACCTGAACACACCTGAACACACCTTCACCTGTTCAGGTGAGACGCCACAGTCAAACTTTACTCACATCACAATGAAACTTTACAAGATGAAAGGAAACTGGAAGAGAAGCTTTTTTTGAATTACAATTCTTTATGTTTTTGATGTTTTATCCCTTTCATGCATGACGTCCACTACAGAGGACAGATATTTGGAAGCCATTGGAGCGATTTAAGTTGTAGCACCATGTCACATCACATACGATGTCACATTTTACATCTGTCATTTTGAAATTCAAAATATGGGAGGGAAGTGTAGACTCACCAAGTACCTCAGCAATAACTGTCAAATCATTTTAGTCTCAGAAAACTAAAAAACTAATTTCCAACTAAACAGGATGTTAGAAAAACTTTTATCCAGATTTAAATTATGTATTTCTTGACTGAAAATACATCTGTCCACTCCAGTGGACGTTCTGCACCAATATTGAGTTCCACTGAATCACTTTTGATGCCGTTGATGCAGCAGACACATTAAAAATCAAATATATTGGTGAAAAGATTTATAGGCAGAGTTTTGACTTGTTTAAAAGTAAAAACAAACTGATTTAATAATATGCAAATGAGGTACTAAGCCTTATCACACAAATCCATTTTCCAGCACATTGATAAGAGTCAGATGGATTTTTGTTGTTTTATTGTGATAATAAACCAAATGTTCAGACATTTACAGAACGCTTTATCAAAATATAGTTTTTACATGGATTTATTCAAAATAAACCACCTGTAGGAGCCACAGTTGGAAGTTTTTGCATCTTCATGTCCTTGATTTGTATTTGCACACTTGATTGGCACTTGGGTGGTGGGTGTGTATGTGGGTGTGTAGGACGCAGTTAGAAGCAGGTGCACTCACCTGTTCACCTCACCTGGCTGCAGTGATCATGGGGGTAGGGTCATTTTAGATCTTTAATGGTGCATGTTGACTTGTCTTGTGCTCTGGCCTTTTCTTTGCACAGACGTATGGAAACAGCTGTTAAGTGGAACTGTTGTTGTCGTTGAAATAGAAAATAAATAGATTGTTAGAAATGTGGTGGAGTCTCATCAGTTTTCTCCATGTTCAGCCTCTCATGGCTTGTTTTCCCTTGATCGACAGTCGGCTGTAACACCACTCATCTGTGGGACGGAGCCTTTTATTCTACATATTCACAGATAAAATGAGAATTATAAAAGATATTTTGCTGTAAGAAAAATTACTTGGCGTACAGGAAACGTGTCATTGTGAGAAAACGGCTGTTTTAAAGCAACAACACACTGAGCATAAAATGACTGTTTGTCACATGAACACATTTCTATAGATATTGGCCATATTTGGACCAGCTAACATTGTGCTCTAGAAAACAAGCTTAAAACAATATATGATTCAATATGGAGAGTTTTAAAAAGACCGGTCGAACTTCGAAGGTCGATGTTAACAAAGATAAATTAGGGGATCTGCAGTTGACGGACTTGGTATAAAATAGACAAATAATAATGTTTATATATATTATTCAAGATTATTTTATTTGTTATATTTTCTGTTTATTCATTTATATATTATCAGCCATTTTTATAATGTTTTCAAAATGTGTTGGAAATATATCATGGAAATTAACTGCAATTCTCCATCAATCCACAAGGTGGAGCTGCAACAGAAAGCAAAGCAGAAAAGTCGATTTAAATAAGTGTTAATCTGCAGTTCTGTTGTCAAACAGAACTAATCTGCAGAGGTCTTTGGGTTCAGAACATCTCAATGAATTAAACAGACAGAATCAGGTCCAGGTGGAGGTCCAGGTGGAGGAGGTGGCTGAGTGTGCAGCAGAAGGAGTAGAGGAGTCTCAGTGTGTCTGCAGAGACTGTGTAGAAGGACAGAGCAGCAGCAGAGCAGTCCAGATCCACTGATGATACTCTGTCACATCCAGAGGAACACACAGGGAGGATGGTGGACTTGACTTTGTGTCTGACAGTGGAGCTGATCTCAGAGCAGTTCAGACTGCAGCACTGTTGGGATTCCTCTGTCAGTCACTGCTGGATGAAGCTCTCCTCTCCACTCTACCTCCCAGTAACATGGCCCAGTCAGAGCCTCTCCACACGCAAGCTGATGCTGCTGCTTCAACCTCTCTGGATCATCAGGACACAGCTGATCCTCTCTCAACACCTCCACCTTTCTGATCCCTCACACTCTTACAGAGACCACCCCCAGCTGATGAGAGAAGAAGACAGACAGCAGAAGTCATAAATCAGAGTTTACAGAGACTCCCTTTGGCCTAGACTGCTGGGAGACTTCCCATGATGCACTGAGCTCCTCTCTCCCTCTCCATCTGGATGCATTCGTATCCCATTACTTTGGGCATCAGCTCTGTTTACTCTGCAGGTTTCACTCAAGTACACAGTGGAAATAAAGTGCTGAGAGTCCCTGAACGCATCATGACTGCAGAGACAGAGATATTCACTGCTCACTGTAATGATGGATTTACTGCTGTTAGGGCTCAAAGCTGTTAAAAACAAGCGGCTCAGTCACATTTGAATATTTCATCTACTTTGGAAATATTACAGGACAAATCTGTTAATATGGAGTCTGTTCTAAAAACATTTGGACCAAACTAAAGACACACGGACAGATATATATATGATGTTAAAGGGGCATTATGTAGTTTCCACCGTCCACTAGCGGTGTGGTTCTAAGATTGCAACCAGGTATGTTCTCGTACGCGTGCTTGCTTGAACTCATGAGCGAGCATAATACGAAACACAACTGCTTTCATACAGAAATCCTGCAATAAACACAGGAACACCAGCATGCCGGTGTTCTGACGATCTATGCTGCCTTGTCGAAAAATGCTACCGTAGCGCAAATCGACAGCAGAGTCTATCGAGTCGCTCTGCCCTATCGAAAAATGCTACCTTATGTGTTCCCTTTTTCAATCCCATAAAGGTATAACTGTCACAGTATTATGACATGTTCTGTTTTTTGATTATATTATAACATAATTTCAGGGGTAGCGTATTCTGATAGACTAATAATGATTTTTTACACAGGATAGTAACATGGGTCGTGTTAGTTGTTGAAGTAATATGGAAAGTGACTTTGCACCGGATAACATTAGCAACTGCTCGGCGGTAGCCGGCGAGCTAACATTACTTTCTCTGTGTTTCTCCAGCTTTACTAACGCTCACTTTGTTCTTACTCGACATCATCTGAACCTGTTTGGTCTGATGGGCTTCAGCACATAAAACTTTATTGTTGTTTTGTATCCTTACACTGGAGCCTGTGTTTCGTTGTGAGCCAGTTGTTTGATGGTGTTAGTGGACTGCATGTCGTTAGCTGCCATGTTGTCGCTGTCGTACAAGAGAGGCTCGGGAGCGTGCACAGCGCTGAATCCGACCCGGATACCTCACATTACATATTACCTTTAAAGGCCCTACAAAGACTGATCAGCTGTGGTTACTGGACTTCAGCAGAGGTTTCTGGTCTGTAGAAAGACCACAAGGTTACTAAATGTAATGTAATGGTTCTCTGAAATAAGAGCCAGTGATTGCAGGCTTCAGTCAGACTGATCTCGGAGCTGTGACAAAGATGAACTGATCAGTAGTTTAGTGTTGAAATGAGAGAACAAACAATTTGAGATCAGATTTGATGGTCCGACAGTTTGATGAATGAGGACCACTGTCTCTATACATCTTGTGATGCTGTCTGCTGGAATCCAGCTTTATTTCCTGGAGACATGAACACAACAACAACAGTCACTTCACATCAACTCAAACACATGATCACTGCCTGTTCTGTGTCTTTCTGTCCAATCCTGAAGCCTGTCACCATTCTCCTCTCACAGCTTCACTGAGGAAAGCAGCCGCTGAGAAAATTGGAGGTTTACAGGAAATACTGGATCTCTGCTTTGATACTAACTGTGTTTAGTACAATACTGCTGAGACCAGCATGGACTGACTCCAACCCTCTACTGACCTCAGAGTCTCCAGTCTGCAGTGTGGACTCTCCTTCAGATCAGACAGCAGCTTCACTCCTGAATCCTGAAGGTTGTTGTATCTCAGCTCCAGCTCTCTCAGATGGGAGGGGTTGGACTTCAGAGCTGAGGCCAGAGAAGCACAGCTGATCACTGACAACCTGCAGTCTCTCAATCTGAATAAAGAATAAATGATGGAGATAAAAATCAATTTCTAATCCAATCAGATGTGTTTAGGTTTTAAATGTGGAGCTCAACATTACTATGTCAAATCAATGAGCTTTTCCCTAAAATGAGTAGAGGGACTTTGTCAAAAATCCATTTCTAATCCAATCAGATGAACATTAAATGAAATATTTCTACTTCAACAAGTAAACTTGATCAGTTTAAAACAAATATTAGTTCAGAGGATATTCTGTATACAGATGTGACCATTTACCAAAAATTTGAGATATTAATTTACTTTAACGACTAACAGTGGACATTTTCTACAGTTTCTTTCAGACACAAGTCTTTGTGACTGCAGACTAAATTTAGTACAAGAAACATGAAAATATGAACAAAAGGACATTTACAACTTTATGGATGGAAGTTATGTATGAACAGAAATTAGCTTCAATTGTTAATTAAACATATCAGATCTACAATAGTAACAGAAAGTCAGTGAACTGACCTCAGAGTCTCCAGTCTGCAGTGTGAACTCTCCAGAAAACCACACAGCAGCTTCACTCCTGAATCCTGCAGCTTGTTGTTACTCAGGTCCAGCTCTCTCAGATGGGAGGGGTTGGACTTGGCCAGAGAAGCACAGCTGATCTTTGACAAATTGCAGCGCCACAATCTGAATAAAGAATAAATGATGTAACTTTAGAAGACAATGTTCCTGCTTGAAATCATTCAGTGTTTAATCTGTTCAGAGCTGAAGAAGTTTTAGAATGTAGAAGTTTAGAAAAAGGAAACTCCAAACACCTGAACCCAACAGGATGCAGGTTCAAACAGTAAAATACAAAAAGGTAAAAAGAGCTCTCATTAATATTAATGACAACGTGCTGCTACTTCAATAAAGACGTAGTGACTTCAGCTCTTAAACTCTGCAGCTCCACCAGTGGCTCCATCTATACAAACTCATGTTGTGCAGCCAAACACAAAGAAAAAGCCACAGAAACTGATTTAAGATTCCACTCAAGATCAAAGAGTTTCCAAAGATACCAAATATGTCAGGATGGACTTTGGGCAAATGTGAACAAAAGACATCTACAATATTTCTTTTAGGAATAGTGGAGTCATCAAATCAAAGCTTCTTCACTTTAAACTATTCAGTCATATAAGCATCATATAGCGTCAGAACAATGTTGGAAAAAACAAATACTGAATATATTTGTTATTGTCTGATAGTTGAAATGGAGATTATTATTTCTTCATTGAATTGATGTAGTTTTATTCTCATTTCTTTAAAACATGATATGGAACAGAAGTGTTAAGGTTTAGTGGAGGATTCAGAGGCGGACACAAGTTAGACGACAAACACACAATCAGATTTATTATAAAATGAAGCAGGGAAGGGAGCGAAAGGTTGTAGACGAAGCGGGGATCTCCAGACAGTGTGGGGCTTGGTAATGGCGTCCTTTAGTTCTGTTCAGGGTGGCGTGGCAGTCTGACACGCAGAGTTCAGGTAGGCAGGCGGGCAGTGGCAGGGCTGAAATCATGGCTGAAATCATGACTGAAACTACTCCAATCCTATTGCCGTTGCTAGAACGGTAGCGTGTGATGGCGTAACTGGAGGCGTATATAAGCACGCCGGCACACAGGACACATTAGCTCTTTGCTATGAAGCAAGGCACTCCAGGCGGGGTGAGGTGTGGCGGACCGACGCAGTGTCTCGTTCCCCTTCTCGGGAACAAGGGTTACATACGTAACCCGAGACGTTCCCCTTCGAGGGAACTCTAACTGCGTCGGTGACGACACTATGGGAACGAGAATACCCACTATGCCACGCCGAAGCCTCCGCCTGCCCCCCAGCATGCAGTTACCCGTAGGCACGACTAAGGAGTGCACGGGCGCCGGGTGCAGAAGGAAGGTCCAGACTGTAAAACCGGATGAAAGTGTTAGGAGTGGCCCAGCCAGCTGGCTCACACAAATCCTGGAGTGAAGCCCCTGCGAGGAGGGCCCTAGAGGCCGCCATGCCCCGAGTAGAGTGTGCCCTTACGGCCATAGGTGAAGGTAACCTGCGCACCTGATAGGCCAGGGAAATAGTCTGAACGATCCAGTTGCTGATCGTGTGTTTGGAAGCGGGGAGCCCAGCCTTGGGGGACCCGAAACACACCAGCAACTGTTCTGCTTTCCTCCACCGGGAGGACCTCAGAGTGTAAATACTCAGCGCTCTGACCGGGCAGAGTAGATGAAGTCTCCCGTCCTCCGCCGTCACATGAGGTGGGGGATCAAACGCCTGCAGCACCATAGACCCTGCCAACCTGGACGGAACCTTAGGGACATAGCCCGAACAGTGGTGCAGGATGGCTCTGACCCTCCCTGGGGCAAACTCCAGGCATTGAGGAGAAACCTAAAGTGCCTGGAGATCCCCCACCCTCCTCAGAGAGGTGATAGCGAGGAGAAAGGCCATCTTAAGGGTCAGGTGCTTGGCCTCAGCTGACTCCAGGGGTTCGAAGGGGGCCTCAGCCAGCGCTTCGAGAACCACTGCCAGTAGTAGTAATAGTAGAACGAGTCACAGGTCTCATCCTCCGGGCTCCACGGAGGAAGCGCACGACCAGTGGAAGCCTCCCCAGAGGCCCATCCCTCAGAGGGGTGTGGAACGCTGCCATGGCAGCCACATTCACCTTTGTGTGGTTGTACTTCTTTGTAGTCTCAAACATGCCAGAGTGCCTGCTGAAGAGAAAAAGCTAATGTGTCCGGTACGCCTTCAGTTACACCGTCACACGCTACCGTTCTAGCAACGGCAATAGGATTGGAGTAGTTTCATTCAAGATTTCAGCCCTGCCACGCCCAGAGGCGTTCCCATAGTGTCGTCAACCGACGCAGTTCGAGTTCCCTCGAAGGGGAACACTAGGAAATAGAAGGAGGCAAGACCTAATCATAACAAGAAGCTGAAAATCAGGAGTTTAAGAGGTTCAGTGAATTATCCAGTGGAGACTTTTCTTGTTATATTAAGATTTTAAATGTGGAGCTCAACATTGCTCTGCCAAAGTCAATGGACTAAACCACTGAAGAAGAAGAGAGACTTTAGCATTAAGATCCTAAGTGTGGATCAGTATAATATCAGCCTTATATCTGCACTTTAGTGTCACCACAACATTCACATCATATTAATCTCAGCACAGAAGGAAAAACTGGTGTCTGACCTCAGAGTCTCCAGTCTGCAGTGTGGACTCTCCAGAAAACCACACAGCAGCTTCACTCCTGAATCCTGCAGCCTGTTGTCACTCAGGTCCAGCTCTCTCAGATGGGAGGGGTTGGATTTCAGAGCTGAGGCCAGAGAAGCACAGCTGATCTCTGACAAACTGCAGCTCTCCAATCTGAATAAAGAATAAATGATGGAGATAAAAATCCATTTCTAATCCAATCAGATGTGTTCAGATTTTAAATGTGTAGATCAACATTACTATGTCAAATCTTTTCCCTAAAATGAGTAGACAGACTTTGTCATTGTGTTATTGTGCATTACAAAGTAACGCGTTACTGTAATCAGATTACTTTTGTCTGTAACGCAGTAATGTAACGCATTACTGTTGATAACTTCAGTAATCAACTTACAGGTAGTAATAAAAAAATCATCGCGTTAATGCGTACTGGTTCTTGAACTATCCGCATAACGGGAGAAGAAAAATAAATCAAATGTCCCTTTTCATGTGTGTTTGTGTAACCCTTTTCTGACCTCACTTTTGACTTCAGCGCCAGTTCATGAGGACGCAGAAATTGTCAACACTGTCCAAATGTCAGCACAACATTCATACACCTATTCATGTCAACACAGATCAATAACATGCTGCTGATCTCAAGCCAGTCTGGATTAATGATCAAGTCAGACATGTTGGTACTTTTGTTACTTTCATTCTCCTCTGTTTCTTCTAATTCAGAACAATCGTGTGACTTACTAAGACAGATGTTTTCTATAGAATTCCAAAATAAAAAGACTTTATGAAATGAATAAGACTTTAAGTGCAGTGCAGAGCTCTTTAACACCTGTCCCAGCAGTTCTGATGCTCATTTCAAAGCATCATCACCACAGTCATCTCCATCAAGACACAGCTGACTGACTGTGAGCTTCATCCTCAGTCATCTTTAGAACTGGATCAACATGAATCCAGTTTAAGTTCAGACTAAATTCAGAGCTGTTGTGATTTGTGCTCAGACAAACTCAGAACACAAGAGAACTGAAGAAAATTTAAAACTTCTGTTATGGATTTAAATTTGGTAGATGGACAAGAGCAGAACACATGAATTGACCTCAGAGTCTTCAGTCTACAGTTTGGACTCTCCAGTCCAGCAGACAGCAGCTTCACTCCTGAATCCTGCAGGTCGTTGTCACTCAGGTCCAGCTCTCTCAGATGGGAGGGGTTGGACTTCAGAGCTGCAGCCACGACTTCACACTGAGTTTTTGAGAGTCCACAAAAGGAAAGTCTGTGATGACAGAGAATATAAAACTTAAAAATATAATAAAATCTGACACATTATTCTAAAAATAGACTCTGTGCATTTTGCATCACAAAGCACATTAAATTGAGCAGCTGCAACTCAGCTGCATGAAGGTGTTATCCGTCACTTCCTGTGTCCCCTTTGTGGCGCTCTAGAGCACTTGGTGATACGATTATAAATGAATATTGGCATGTAGATCTGTTCAGCGGGACAGTTATCAAGCATGTAAAGTTTTGTGCAGATGTGAGCATGTATCTTTACTGTAATACTGATGCTTCAGCTTTACGTCGCTTTACAGTGTTGATAATGGTACATTTGGACTTACAGAGCCTTTCTGCAGTTTCTCACAGCTGCAATCAGTCTCCGTCGTCCCTCCTCTGATGTGTTGTACTTCTGCAGGTCCAACTCATCCAGAACCTCCTCTGACATCTGCAGCATGTAGGCCAGAGCTGAGCAGTGGATCTCTGAGAGTCTCTTCTCTGATCTGTTCTGTGACTTCAGGAACTCTTGGATCTCCTGATGTACTGAGTGGTCGTTCATCTCCGTCAGACAGTGGAAGATGTTGATGCTTCTGTCAGGAGAGATCCAGTTCATGTTCATCTCCTTCAGGTTGTTGATGGCTCTCTGGATGATTTCTGGACTGTTGTCTGTCCGACCCAGCAGGCCTCCTAAGAGTCTCTGGTGGGACTCCAGAGAGAGGCCATGAAGGAAGCGAACAAACAAGTCCAGGTGGCCATTTTTACTTTCGAGAGATTTCTTCATGGAACTCCTCAGGAGGTCCTCCAGGCTTGGGTCATGCTCATCCTCACTGTCACTATCCCGACTATCCAGAAGGGATTGGTGGTAAGTGTTGTATAGACAGTCTGTAGGTTTTGAGTCCCTGTGTTTTTCACTGTGTTTTGTGAGGTATTTCCAGTCTTTCCACAGGAAGTCCTCCAGTCCCTTTTTGTTCCTGCAGGTGTAACAGTGGAACATGTAGACTGCAGCCAGAAACTCCTGAACGCTCAGATGAACAAAGCAGTAGACTGTTTTCTGGAAGATCACACTCTCTCTTTTGAAGATCTCTGTACAAACTCCTGAGTACACCGAGGCCTCTGTGACATCAAGACCACACTGCTCCAGGTCTTCTTGGTAGAACATGATGTTTCCTTTCTCCAGCTGTTCAAACGCCAGCCTCCCCAGCTTCAGAAGAACCTCCCTGTCAGCCTCCGTCAGCTCCTGTGGACTCGTCTCATGTCCCTCATCGTACTTCTGCTTCTTCCTCTTTATCTGAACCAGCAGGAAGTGTGAGTACAGGTCAGTCAGGGTCTTGGGCAGCTCTCCTCTCTGCTCTGTAGTCAACATGTGCTCCAGAACTGTAGCAGTGATCCAGCAGAAGACTGGGATTAGACACATGATGTGGAGGCTCCTGGAGGTCTTGATGTGTGAGATGATTCTGCTGGACAGCTCTTCATCACTGACTCTCCTCCTGAAGTACTCCTCCTTCTGGGCGTCAGTGAAGCCTCGTACTTCCGTTACCCTGCCGACACACGAAGGAGGGATCTGATTGGCCGCTGCAGGTCGGGAAGTTATCCAGACGAGAGCCGAGGGAAGCAGATTCCCCTCGATGAGGTTTGTCAGCAGCAGGTTGACTGATGACTTCTGTGTGACATCAGACACAACCTCACTGTTGTGGAAATCCAATGAAAGTCTGCTTTCATCCAGGCCGTCAAAGATGAACAACAGTTTCCAGATGGCGAGCTTCTCCGCTGGGACCTTCTGTAATGTTGGATGGAAAACATGGAGCAGCGTGAGGAGACTGTGCCGCTCATCTTTGATCAAGTTCAGCTCCCTGAACGAGAGCAGAACCAGCAGACCGACATCTTGGTTTTCCGAGCCCTCTGCCCAGTCCAGAGTGAACTTCTGCACCGAGAAGGTTTTTCCAACACCAGCGACGCCGTTGGTCAGAACCACTCTGATGGCTCTCTGTTGGCCAGGTAAGGCTTTAAAGATGTCCTGGCACCTGATTGGAGTGTCATGGAGGGTCTTCTTCTTGGAAGCTGTCTCAAGCTGCCTCACCTCATGCTGGGTATTAACCTCTTCACTCTGTCCCTCTGTGATGTAGAGCTCAGTGTAGATCCTGTTGAGGAGGGTTCCACTTCCTGTTTCATCACTTCCTTCAGTCACACGTTCACATCTCCTCCTCAGACTGATCTTATGTTCATCTAAAACCTCCTGCAGACTGCCATCCACTGTCACAGAAGAAAGAATCATTAGTGGGAATTATTCATTAGCACCAACATAAAAACAACCAGTAAGAAAACTGAATCCTATTGAAAATGTTTCTGATTGGCTGAGACAGCAACATTTTAAATGCTGCGAGGCAAAGAAAGCCAAGAATCCTGTTTTCAGACATGAGGACATCAGCAGACAGATGGACAGTCTTACTTTGTACAGATCTGCTCTGACTGGCTGTCTGCAGTCCAGCTCTGGTTCTGGATCTTTCTCCACACTGGGGACAGGAGGAGTGTCCTGATGAAGCAGACTGGTCCCAGTATGAGGTGATGCACCGTCTGCAGAACCAGTGTCCACAGCTGGTAGAGACTGGATCCTTCAGGACGTCCTGACACAAAGCACAGCAGGACGGCTGCTCCTCCACAGAAACATGACTCCTCTTCCTCTCTCTGTGAAGACATGTTGTCATGGTTTTGGCTTTGAGGGTTATTATTTCCTGTTTTATTTTGTTAACTGCTTCCTCTTGTGTCTTTGTGTTTCCTGTTTTACTTTGGTATTTTCCTCTCATCTGGTTTCGGTTCACTTCACTTCCCCCTTGTGTGATTGTTTGCTCCTCCCTGATTAAGTTCACCTGTGTCTCATTATCTTGTGCTCACTGTATTTAGGGCCCTTCCGAAACTAGACCCTCACTACTTCCACTCCGACACAGAGTGAACTCTGGAGTCACCCTCACAGCCAAATCGTACCCACGTAGGGTAAACATATAGCGGCCAACTTTCGGATGAACTACCCTCCCCCCCCCAGCGTCAATAGGATCTGACGTTACCGCTGAAGCCTAGGCCTACTCACTGCTATAATACGTGTATCAAATAAACATTTGTATTAAGATTCAGGATTGATGTTGAGGAAAAGTTTGTTTTTTTGCAATATTGAAACTGAAAGCATTTGTCATTAATTTTGTGTTTGTGTCGAATATTTCTTTAAGAACATGACTTTAGACATCACAACAAATAAAATTATATTACATTCTTTTATGCAAAGAATGGCTATATTTATCTTATATGAAAAATATTACATTCACAAATGCAACATTTCAATATAAATCAAATATTATATTGAAGCATTATATAGTGTGAAGAATTTAAAACAGTTGTATGAAGACTTAACTATTTTTTTTTAATGCCTTTGTTGCTTGTTACGTGATCCCCCTGTGTGTCTAGTTATGCCATGTTCTATTTTGTCCTTTAATGTAGGCCATTTTATTTTGGCAAGATTTTCACGAGATGAATACGATTCAATAATATCAGCAGTTGTATTGTCTATCAGACAAGAGCCTTTTTAATTAAACACAATTTAACAACCCACTACCACTCTGCCCTCTTTGGTTTCGGATGGCACTCAATGTGGCGGACCCTCTGCATGAACCGGCATGAAAGCGCAAACAGAGTGGATTTCAGTGGATTTTGTCTGCCGTTCAAGCCCTATCCCTCGTGTTAGTTTCCTCATGGACTGTATATTTCCTTGTGCTGTTGGACTGCCTGTTTTTACTGCAGTCAAGCCAGCCTCCACTTTGAAAACAACAGTCAAGCCAGCCCTCACGCTGTTTTGCGATGCATGTTTTTTCTAGGCATTACGGTAACATCATGTCGCAGCACATTTCAAAATAAAAATGAGCTTCTTCTGAACATAGTGCTTTTGGTGTGGCAGAAGTAATTGAATAAATAAATAAATAAATGCTTAAGACAACACAAGTATCTAAAGAAAGTATGACATTTTCACAGAAAGCTTACTAAATTCATCCAAGATTCAAACTAAAAGAAAACTGTTTTCACAAACTCATTTAACTTCACAGTGATAGCATACCAACTCAGGGTTTCCCTCTGTCAATGTCAGAGAGATGATGTAGTATTTTGAAATTACAGACCTTGAAAATGTTTAATATTTTCACTGAATTTGCCAAGATTCAAATCGATGTAAAAAGAAAACTGGTTCATTAAACTTGCACAGCCCCCACCAGATGCAGAGCCTGTGTGACAAAGCATGAAGGTCACGGTGTGGTAACTAGTTCTATAAGCACAGGCAGAGCCCTCTACTAATGGGCCCTGCCACTCCATCGTCTGCTGAAGGGTTAGTCTGCAGTAGGGACACTGCATAATAAATAAAAGGGATAAAATAAAGTCAAATAAAATCGGGAAAGGCTCTCCTATAAAAGTATGTTTTAAGAAGGGACTTAAAAGAGTTCACTGACTCAGCCGACCTGATTTCCTCGGGCAGGCTGTTCCAGAGCCTCGGGGCCCTGACAGCAAACGCTCTGTCCCCTTTAGTTTTCAGTCGAGACTCTGGAACAGACAGCAGACCTCTGCCCGAGGATCTCAAGGTACGTGCTGGTGCGTATGGGACTGAAAGGTCAGAAATATAACAAGGCGAGAGGCCATGAAGAGCTTTAAAAGTGATCAATAGAATTTTAAAGTCAATTCTAAAACATACTGGGAGCCAGTGTAATGAAGCTAAAATAGGAGTAATGTGGTCATATTTCTTTGTTCTGGTTAAAAGCCTGGCAGCTGAGTTCTGGACAGTCTGGAGTCGATCAATAGATTTTTGGGTTAAACAGGTGAAAAGGCTGTTGCAATAATCCAGGCGTGATGAGATGAAGGCGTGTAAAATGGTCTTGGTGTCCTTAAAAGTTAACATAGATCGAATTTTTGCTATATTTCTAAGTTGATAAAAACATGATTGAACAAGCTTTGTGGTGTGCTGCTCGAAATTTAAATTACTATCAAACCAAACACCAAGGTTCTTTGCCACAGGCTTAATATGATTTACTAGGGAACCAGCAGATGGCAGTATTTGTTTTGCCATCTGCTGGGACCCGATGACCAGGATTTCTGTTTTGTCTGAGTTCAGCTGGAGGAAATTATTTGACATCCATTTTTTAACTTCACAAAGGCAGTTGTTAAGTGAACTCAGCATTCCAGGGTCTGTGGATCTGACGGGCAAGTATATTTGTGTGTCATCAGCATAAATATGAAAAGAAATGCCATGTTTATGGATAATATGTCCAAGGGGAAGCAGATACAAGGAAAACAAAATGGGTCCTAAGACCGACCCCTGAGGCACACCATATTTAACTGGACAGAATGAGGAGACATAGTTGTTTACAGACACGCAAAACTTCCTATTTGACAGGTAGGATGAAAACCATTCTAGAGCAGTACCAGAGATCCCCACCCAGTGCCTCAGTCTGTCTAACATGATGTTGTGATCATTGGTGTCAAAAGCAGCGCTAAGGTCCAGGAGTACCAGGACTGAGCACATGCCTTCATCAGCAGACATTAAAAGGTCATTGGTGACTTTAAGCAGGGCAGTCTCAGTGCTGTGGTACTTCCTAAAACCAGACTGAAACTTTTCAAATAATTTGTTATTTTCCAGTACAGTGAGCAGCTGTTTAGACACAATTCTTTCTAGAATCTTTGCAATAAATTGGTCTAAAATTATGTGGGAGGGAGGGATCTAAACCAGGTTTCTTTAAAAGTGGGTTCACGCAAGCCGTTTTAAAATAATCAGGGACACAACCAGTAGATAGAGAGCTGTTGAAAACAGAGATCAAATGGGCCCCAACAGAATCTATTACTTTCAGTAAAAACTTTGTAGGTATTACATCAAGTGGGCTGGAGGACACTCTCATTTGTGATACTGTTTTTAAAAGCTCAGACAAGTCGATGGGATAAAACTGGTTAAAACTCTCTTGTTGCTGGTGAGGGACCTCTGAGTAAGAGGCCGCGGGGGTAATAGAGGCTCTGATTGACACCACCTTATTGGTAAAATAAGATAAAAACAGTTCACAGTCATCATTACTTCCAGCTGAAGCACAAGGAGGGGTTGGGTTTACCAGCTGATCCACAGTCTTAAACAGAAACCTGGGATTGTGTTTATGTGTAGTAATGAGTTCAGAAAAATAGTGTGTTCTCGCATCCTTAACCATGTTATTGTAGTTAATTAATAAATCCTTCAGACTGAGGTAATGGACTTGGAGACTGGATTTTTTCCATCTGCGCTCTGCTTTCCTTCATTCCCTTTTTAGGCTGCGAATGCTGTCATTTATCCAGGGTTGCTTACTAGCTTTAGACGTAGGCCTAACCTTTAGAGGAGCAGTAATATTTAGTGACGACAAGCAGATATGATTGAAGTGATCGACCAGATTGTTGGTGTTGGAATCAGACAGGTGTTGGCTTTGGCTCTGAAAGAATGTGCAAAACTTTGAAACACTTTGTTCATTAAAGATGCAAGAACACACGGAGCTTGGTGAGGCAGCTTGAGTAACAGGCGAATCGCAGATAAAAACAATACACCTGACATTTTATAGGGCTTTAATTTCTTTACCCTAAAACCGAAAGCTCTGATATGGACTGAGGGATGCTCTACAGTGGTCTGCTATTTCTGGGAAGTGAAATGAGTTGGTGGAAACTGCAGGTTTTCTTTTAAAAAGGACATGGATGAGCGAGTTTGGTGTGGAGAACCTGACTGAGTCCTGACCTCAACCCACAGAACACCTTTGGATGAATTAGAGCGAGACTGCGAGCCAGGCCTTCTCGTCCAACATCTTTGACTGACTTCACAAATGGGATTACAGAAGAATGGTCAAAAATTGCCATAAACACACTCCTAAACCTTGTGGACAGCCTTCCCAGAAGAGCCAAAGCTGTTATATCTACAAGGGGTGGGCCAACTCCTTATTAAACCCCATGGATTAAAAATAGGATTTCATAAACCATCTTGTGTAAATGTGTACTGCCTAAAACTTTTACAACATAGTGTAGTTCAGATCTTCACCAAGGGTCACCCTGAGATGGTCTGTTATCACTGTGAAGTGAATTGAGTTAGTGGAGGTTTTCTTTTTACATCAATCAAAAATGGACAAATTCAGTGACAACATTAGACATTTTTAAGGCCTGTAACTATTAACACCTACATCCAATCTCTCTGATATTGAAAGAGGGACACCCTGAGGTGATCTGCTATCATTGTGAAGTGAAATGAGT